TGGAACGTTTAACAAATTTCATTTCAACCGAAATTTTTTTCCTGGCGGAAAAGACAAGGTTATGGGACGTCGAAGAACTTGCGATAATGCTTGCAAAAATAAATAAATGGGCTTCGGCACGAAGTGGAAGAAGAAAAAAAAAGAAAGACGAAATGGCGAGAAGGAATTTTTCATAGCCATGATGAACGCATGAAGCTCTTTTTCGAAGCATCTGGTGGAAGATATAAATCCTTCTGTTGAATTCTCAACCCATGGATTATCATTGGAGGCTAAATATTATGTGCCTCTTCATATAGGCATTTTCACACAATCTTATATATCTTAATTTGAAAGATCTGCAATTGTTGAATGTGAGCTCAAAAGCCTGGACAGGGTCAGAAAATGTTCCAAGTACTGTATCAGTGTTTTCAAACACTGCTCCAATCCCAGAAAATGTTGTATTCACTACGTTTTTCAAAAAATTAACAAGAATTTTGCTTTAAAATCTTTCAAGTAATGGCATTGCCTTGTGCTGGGCTTTACATCATTATTGTAAAATTATGGCCATTTGTTATTCTTGCATTTGTACGTTCTGTGATATATTTTCTTGTAATACAGTTGAGCCTTGATCAGTCAAACCTCCCTAATTCAAATTTTTCGAAGTCCCTGTCTGAATTCCCTTAAAAACAATGTATTAGAAACCTCCATAACTTAAAGTCTTTTTCTCTCAGACCCCCTGAAGTCAAGTTTTCTGCAGACTTTTGGATATTATTTTCTTGATACATGAAAGAGAAAAGCAATAAAGCAAGTAACTTGATATGTTTTGAAAGAAAGTGACAGAGTAACTGTCCAAATGAGCACCTGACTTCAAGTTCAGCATGCCGTAAACTCATGTAAGAAATAATTTCTAAGGCCCAGAATATCACCATTTACATTTTCCTGCAAATCTTCAAGTTTCCTTCAAAAAAATGCTTGTTTCCCTATCTAGAAACTTTCCTAAATGGAAACCTCCTTAAGTCGAAACCTCCCTGAGTCAAATTGTTTTCCTTGTCCCCTGAAATTTGACTCAGAGAGGTTCAACTGTACCTTTATTGTGGATTATTTTTGATTGGCTGGAATGTGTCATATGGATGTTTAGGGAGATGTGGAATTTTAAAAAACCCTATGAATGCTGACAAGTGGCAAATGCACCTCGTACCTTGCAATTTGACCTCCTGCAGTTTGACCATGTTGCAATTTGACAGTCAAATTTGCTGGGAGGTCAACTCTCAATTTAACCTCTGCCATGCAATTCAACCTATGGAGAGACATAAAAGTTCAAATGCCATGTAGAAAACATGCCATTTGGGTTGTCTTGCAATTTGACTGCTTTGCAATTTGACCCTGGTCGAGCAACAGATTAGGGTCAAATTGCAAGGTAGCAACTGTATATAAATCAATCAATCATTTTTACTCATCACAACTGGTAACAATAATGGAGACTCAGCTATTTCCAGAGTTCTGGTATTATTTTTCTACATCTCCTTTGATGCCTAGGTCTTAATAGATGCTGGCAACAATGAGAGACTAGGCAGCATTTGTTACAAAATATATATGTACAGCAGAACTGTACAATACATAAAAGTTAGCAGCCCTGTAAGATTCAGTCAACCATTAATTGAGTCCCAAAATTGTCACTGGAGGAATAATTTACCTGTTATTTTCATACCTCATCACAATAACTTTTCATTTTGTGGCATGATTCATGTCTGGGTATATCTTGACACTAAGTAACTAAACCAAGGGTTTATTGTGTGTGTTTCAAATTACCATTTGCCGGATTATGCACAGCTTTCCATTTTTTCCACTTTTGAGAATGGTTCCTTTGTTTCGAAACTTCTGAAGTTGTCTATTTTGTGGCATTGATTTAAGAAATAATTATAGTAGATTAAAAATTAATCTAAAAAACCACGTTTAGTGTGCCACAAAGCACAAAAGATTGCATTGTCATCAGTTTCTAAGCTATCCTGAAAGTTTCAGCTTGATAGCTAGAAAAATTTGAGTTGCAAAATTTGATCTGGACAAACAAACAGACAAGAAAGCGAGTTAATAAAAACGTGGTAAAAATCTTTAGATTGAAGGATATTGCGGGTTTTTCTTTCCTTTCTCAGGCAAAAGACTTCATTATCTCTATTGACACTTCTTGGAACAAAACCTTCGAAAACGGTTGAAAGATCATTTCTGGGCTCGCCCACTTTGGGCTCTCCATTTGCTACTGTGCAGTCCAGAACAGTTGATCAATAGTTCTTAAAACCTGGTTTAGTCCCTTTTAAAATAAATTAGTTTGCCACGGACCCTGCTGAATCTAAATTTTGTACAGTGCCTCGTGTCTTTCTTACGTTCTCCTGGACTGCAGGAGAAACAATATTCTAGGAGCATAATGTTTTTAAAGCGCAGTACTTTTAATCAAGGACACACACAGTCTTGCCTACCGTATTTACTCAACTACCAGCATGCGCACCTTTTTTCTTGAAATAGAAAGGAAAAAATAAAGGCGCGAGTTGCAGGAAGGTATAACATTTTTCAAAAATGTTCTGGAAGCTTAGGTGTGCGTCATAAACTCTTACTTGATTATACCAGTAATTGCTCATTTTGGACCAATTTTAGCAAAAAATATGTTTCAGTGGAAATAATCGATGGTTCAATTCCTGTCCGAATTCAAATTTTTCCTTGTTTTATTTATTGAAATATTGCAGTTTTTATGTCACTAAAGTAATGCGTGTGTCTCCCTGTAGTGCAAGTTGAGAAAATACTGTACCCTATTTATTCTTTTTAGACCTCATACTCCATCGTCTGGAACTCAATGCATTTTTTTCTTCTCCCTGAGGAGCCACGAATGGGCTCCGTGGAGCACAGATTATGTAGGGTATGGATTAAAAACTGAGAACCGGAGAATTTTTAAATTCAAAATTTGCCCTGCCTTATTTATTGAAATATTCCAGTTTTTAATGTCACTAAAATTAGTGTTTGTGTGTCTCACTGGAGGGAAAATCCAGTAAATACCCTATTAATTTTTCCAGACCTCATACTCCATCATCTGAAACTCAATGAATTTTTTTTTTTTCCTGTGACTTCTGTGGAGCTTTTAGTCAGCGTTTTTGTATCATTATTTTTTCGGTGAGGAGCCAGAAATGGGCTCCATGGAGCACAGATTATTTAGGGAATGGATTAAAAACTAAGAACCGGAGACTTTCACGAGTTTGTGAATGACCGAAGACGGATGTGTTTATCAGGGCCGTATGGTGTGTGTGTGTGTAATGTGTATATGTGTGTGTGTATATATGTGGCTGGCCTTGAAGCGATCACTTCCGAGTACGCCGGATCCCATCTAGAGGACGCGGGCCTGTGACTTCCGGAGTCCTCGCCAAGTCGCTGGTTCTGATGCCACGAGGCTATGCGTTGAACGTATTCCCCGCCATCACCTTTCTGGCCTTCAGCTTCCCCTTTTTTTCTGTTGATTTGACTACTATACAAGACGCACTCTGTTGAAGATTTTTTTTTACATATACAGGACAGTATCTCTCTCTCATGGAGTTCTCTCTTTTATCCCCCCCCCCCGCCATCTTAGTCGAGAGGCCGTCAAGGTTTTTGTTGTTCATAAACTGATGCTGAATTCAGTTTTTTTTTTTGCGTTAACCTTGCGGAAATAACCTTCCCGAAGTTTCTGGGTTCTTGTTGACGCTTCCCAATATTTCCACTTTTTAAAACTTTTTTTAAAATAATCAGTGGCATTTTTGTCAAGGACAACGTTGGATTCAGGTGCGATGGGAAGGTTGTCTGCTCGTGACTTGGTCACGGTGGAATTTTGGTTTACCTGACAAACTTGAGTGAAAACGGGATTTATCGTACTTGTTTTATAGGGTTAAGTTCGGTTGTTTCGTGTTAGGTTCAGTTTTGCCTGGTTATAATTGTTTCTTTTCGGATGTTGAACTTTCATTACGCCAGTTTCCTGATCGTAATTATAATTGATTTCTGCATTCAGGGACAGAGGCGAAATACTGTACAACGGTTGTTCTACAGGTTTTGTCAGTTTTAACATTCAGTGCTGGGGTTCTGTTGAATGGACGAAAATTAGCGTGGATTTCAAAAAGTTGAATTTAATAATATCATGACTACTTACTTTTGCCAACCCGGGTTGCAGTGAAAAAAAATGACAAAAGTATTTAAAGTTCACCCAAAAATGTGTGGGACTAACTTTTTTTCCCGCCACACTTGCGTATTAGGAGAATTCGTAATCTGGGAAATGGTTTCATGACAAGTTTAAAAGCAAAAGAATAATAATTCTAAAGAAATGTGTCTTCAATGTGACGACCGTGTTCCATTTGAAAATTAGACTTATGTTTTTCAAAATATTTGCCTGAATTATGCTGCGCGTGAATATTGCCATAAAATTTCGATTGGTGAACAAAAAACTTTTTAGCAAATGATCGCGGACTTGAAGTTTATTTTATTGATTCCACATGGGTTCAGAAAATGATGATGGAACTTTAAATAACTGGAGTTTCTTAAACATGTTATTCCAGGGTACGCAACCCACATAAACCCTGTTGAACTATACTGTAACTCGTGTGTTAAAAATACTGCGAATCAAATATTTTTCGACCATCACCTTTTGCACAACACATTTACTAAAAATTAGAACGGTTTTCGAATCGCCGCGGATTCGAAAATAATTCGTTGCTGCGGATCTGTTTATTCCCATTCGCTGATTAATTTCGCACGCGTGTCTCCTGATCATTATTCATAGAAAAGTGTCCAATTTAATACTGTAACTCGTGTGTTAAAAATACTGCGAATCAAATATTTTTCGACCATCACCTTTTGCACAACACATTTACTAAAAATTAGAACGGTTTTCGAATCGCCGCGGATTCGAAAATAATTCGTTGCTGCGGATCTGTTTATTCCCGTTCGCTGATTAATTTCGCACGCGCGTGTCTCCTGATCATTGTTCATAGACAACTGTCTAATTTATTTCATTTTATTCCAACCAGGGGTGAAGTTGGCGATTTTTTAAAGAAAAACGCGTCGCAATAAAATATTGTTAAAACAAAGAAAAAAGTGTCGAAATACCAAATGGCCGCTTCGTGGTGTCTACGATGAGCACCGAACCCGGGATTCAAAACGCCGGCACAAAAACGACGCGACAGGAGAACCTCCAACACCACGTCCGCCAATCAGCATCCGAGAAGAAAGCCAACAAGGAGTGCAAAATTTGTGGCGAAACTTTGGCGGACACGATTCTGTACTTGAAACACATTCTGTTGCATCGGGATAGCCCGGAAACGGTCGCCGAAAAAGTCAGCCTTGATGAGAAGCTGGACGTTGTTGAAGTGAATGTCGACAGTGTCAACTACAACAACAATAACGACGACGACGACGACAACGACAACGACGAGAAGCACCTGTTCCACGAGGAGGATTTGATTGTCCGTATCGACGCCCAGGTGTCGAATCGGGAGGGGCTGTACGTGTGCAAAATTTGCGGGAAGCAATTCCGCAAAAAGTACAGCATTGCTTGTCACCTGAGAGTGAGTAGACGACAGCTCGTGTTTTTCTTCCTTTCAAAAGTTCGCATACGAGGACATTTGTGCGGAATTTCCTCATGCGAAACACAATTTTCCTTGAGCATTTATTGTGAACTTTTTAAAATTTGTTTTGTAAAAATAAAAAAGGTTGAAGGTTGAGGTTATCACTTCAGATTCTTTTTTCTCGAGTGAATCCGCAAACTAGGGAGTTCTATGATGAATTTCCTTTTGCGAAACCTCATTTTTTTATATGTGATGAGTTGTTGTGAAGACTTAATTTGTTCTGTAATGATGTAAATATTTTCCGTCTGAGAGTGAACTACCACAACTCGTTTTCCGTTTATTTATCTCTTGGAAGTCCGTATAGAAGGAAGCTGCTGTATAGTGTGTTCAGGTTGGTTTTCATGCGTAAAAAAATTTTTCTTTGTCGAATTATTGTGAAGAATTTAATTTGTTCCGCAGAAAAGTAAATATTTACCCTCTGAGAGTGAGTAACTAGAACTTGTCTTTTGTCATTTTTCTCTATACTGAATCCGCATACAAGGAAAATTGAATGTCCCAGGATTTATTTCAATTTTCTCCGAGGAATGCTTGTGTAATTTGTTTAGTAGTAAAGTAATTTATTTCCGTCTGATAGTGATTTTTTTCTCTTTCTCGTTCTTTTTCTCTGGTATTTCCGCAAACCAGGAAACGACTCTACTCTATTTTAGAATAAATTTCTTAATGTGGAAAATAATTTTCTTTGAAGAATTTAATTTGTCCTGTAATGAATTACATGTTTGCCATCTGAGAGTGAGATGCGACAGATACAGTATTTTTCCCTTCGTTTTTGCTGGAGTAAGTCCACATACGGGGAATTCAGTCTTTTCAAGGTTGGATATCCATTTGTGAAGCATCTGATTTTTCCTTGGGGTGTTATAGCGTAGAATTTAATTTCTTTTCTATGTGAAAACTGTTCATAAAAAAGTGCATAACTTGTGAAAACTTCCGACAGTTTTCGAAGCCTTCTTTCATTAGCAGCTGTGATTTTGTTCGATTAGACTCTTCTAAGAATATTCTAAACTCATTTTTATGACTCATGACAATGATTTATAACCCTGTGGAGTCGTGGAGGCAATCGTCAAAATTCTAGTCCTTCATTTCTTAAAAAAAAATAGAATTCCAGGAAAAAAGAATCGTTCTCAGAAGAAAAAAACTTGTTCATTATTTTTCAGGTGCATACCGGAGAACGACCTTTTAAGTGCCCAATTTGCTCCCGTTCCTTTTCCCTGGCGTCGAATCGAAGGAAACACATGTTGACGCATGCCAATTACAAACCGCACATGTGCGGCCTTTGCGGACACCTTTTCTCGCAGAAGGTGAATCTCATGCGACATCTGTCCGCGGTTCATGGAGTCGATGAGGGGCTCATTTCGGACGTCAATGGTGACGATGACACTGTAGACGTGGATGTCGAAATGTCGGACGAGGACGAGGGTATCGTCGGCATTGATCGTGACGACAGCGACACCGGCGGTGGGGATGAAAACGACAAGCCAGTTTGGGACAACAACGAAGAAGATCTGAAACTCAATTCCGAGGTAAGATTCGATCAATTGTGAGGATTTATTGCGACAAGAGTCTTGCAAGCCGTCAACAATTTCGAATTTGAAGGCGAATGAAAACCTGTGGTGGCGAATTTATGATTGTTAATCCGTGATTGTTTTAAAGAAATATGTAATCTTTTTGAACGACGGATGAAGTTGATATTTAATCTGATTTTTTGAACATACAATTTTAAAATAGGGGAAGAATCAGCCAGAAATTGGAAAAAATGTCAGGATTCTGTTTTATTTCGTATGTGATCTTGAAATTTGGTTTAATATCCCAAGAAAAATCTGGGGTTCTCAGTTTTTTTTTTTTTTTTTAACTTAATTTTGCAAGAAAGAGAAACTCTTTAAATACGAGTACCTGCCATAAAGTATTTTAAAAAAAAAAAATTTTGGGTTTTTTTTTTTTTTTTTTTTTTTTTTTTTTTTTGCATACACTCGTAGGACCGGAGCACATTTTTTATCAAGGTTTCATAAAAAATATCCAGGTCCTCTGTCCAATATTTTAAAGATGGAAAGCATTGTCCGTCGGTGTATTTCATAATTTTTTGGTTATTTTTATGATGGACTCGTGATACAAAATTCTCCCACTGCAATAAATCCTCCCGTCGAAACAAGATTTGCAATACATTTTTAACTGTGTTCATCTTGGCAGAATTGGATGAACTTAATTTTTTGAGTGCCAAATACAAGTTCCGGAAAAATTTTCGGTGAATTTCATCCGAATGCGATGATGACCTTTTGTTGATTGGCCAGACTTTTGAGAAATAAACTCTTGATGCGAGTGGCAAATCATCGAGTTTTTTTGCACCATTGACAGATGAAGGACATTCGGGAATCGCCGCAGTCAGATTCTCTGCTTTATCAAATTCTCAAACCCAAAGAAGAGCCACAATCTTCGATGCTTATGAAGATTTTAGCAAATTCTGCTGCTGCATCTCCACAGCAACAACAACAGCAACAACAACAACGGGCGTCGACGCCGAAAAGCGAAGATCGACGCGTCATGAATGACGACAATAATGCTTTGCTATGTGTTGGTGGAAATGCTGCTGTTGTGTGTCCAATTTGCAGTCGAAGAATCTCTGAACATCAGCTCGAATCTCACCTTTCGACTCATCATCCGACAGGTTGGTTTTTTTTCTTCAATTTTTTAACGAAGAGGTTCCCTAACCTTTTTGGGCCCGCGGATCAGCAAATTTCCATAAAATTTGTCCCGGACTGGCACATTTCCAAAAAATCTTCTGCGGACCGGCAAAGTTTCATCACATTTTTGCAGACTCAAAAACGTATTGCTTAAAATACTTTATGGCAGGTACTCGTATTTAAAGAGTTTCTCTTTCTTGCAAAATTAAGTTAAAATCTAACGAAGCAGCTTTAATGGAATGTCTCGAAAAATTAAGAAGGTGGGCTCAACGTAAGGTTTCTCAGAATTAAAAATTAAAATAATTTATTTCATCAGGATACAATTTGTCTCTAGTGCTATTAGGAGAAAAGCTAACGTCTATTTTTCATTGGATAATTTTAGCTGCCATTGTTCTTCCCAAAATTTCAGATAGAGATACTGTAACGTCCTTCTTGGCTACTTTCGAAAAAATTATTATGCGGAAGATAATTCCCCGCGGACCGGCAAAAAACTTCTGCGGACTGGTGCTGGTCCGCGGACCATGGGTTGAATAATTCAAAACTAAACATTCTCTAGAACGGAAACCAATGAGCAGATTATTGCACAGTACAATTCCGAAGTAAGATTCGATTAATTGTGAGGATTTATTGCGAAAAGAGTCTTGCACGTCGTCATCAATTTCGAATTGGAAGGCGAATGAAACCTGCGGTGGCGAATTTATGATTATTAATCCGTGATTTTTTAAAGAAATATGTCATCTTTCTGAACGACGGATGAAGTTGATATTTAATCTGATTTTTTGAACATACAATTTTAACATAGGGGAAGAATCAGCCAGAAATTGGGGAAACAATGTCAGGATTCTGTTTTATTTTGTCTCTGATCTTAAAATCTCTGATCTCAACCCGAATGAATTTGAGAAAGCTACGTTGAATATTAATTCTAAAAGACAGTCTCGAATAATGTACCGTTATGTTCGCCAGATATCTAAATGCGGAATCTCGAGTCGTGACCGCTACTCGTACGCATGACAACGGTACTTTTTCCACGTGATTTATTTTTCTTCCTGAATGATAGAATCATATGAATCATACAAAAATGATCTTGGGATTTTATATTGGGTGTCTGCTTTTAAACGAAATGTATCCTGGTTTTTATATGCATGAGCCTGAACCACTGCCCGAACAATAATTAACCCTTGTCTAATTCCAAATAATGGTAAGCTTTTCCTATGGTTATACAGTAGTTTGAAAACATTCATGGACAATTTTACAGTATTTAAAAAGTCGGTGGATCTGATAAAATTGTTCTGTTTCCGAATATCTTTCGAAATTTCAACACATTTGTCAGCTCTCGTGAATCAAGAAATAACGCTGTCTGCGTATTTCATAATATGTAAATGTTTTTCTCGTTCAACCTTGAGGTTTTCGCTCAATCTTCACAACCACTAGCGATTAGCGAGAGTGATTTTGATTAATTTATGGAAAGCTTCGAGTCATTTGTGGATGCATTTATTAATCGACTTCAATTTTTTCAAAGCCATGGATGGGGAAAAAATTGATGATGATTGGACGATATCGAGGAAACTGGTGATTCATTTTTACAATTAGGAAAATTGTTGGTTTGAATTATCCCAGTCGTGCTTTTCATTTTAGATTTGTGCGTTGCTGGTTGTTCTTTTCATGTGAACGGAATTTTTAGTACAAAATTGGGTACTGTAATAAAATTTATTTATACAGTATAAGCACGTCAACCTGAAGTTGCCCAAACAATTTTGTCAACTGCTGTTTTTGGATGCGCTCAACTTTTAAATTGTTTTTATTTTTAGTCAGGAAATGTAATATTGCATTCCGAAATGCTGCCAATTTTTCTGCTACTCTCTTGCGATCCGTATTGAAATTCGTTTTTATTTTATTTTTTCCTTTTTTTTTTAATATAGGTCGACCCTATCAGTGTTCGACCTGCGTCCGCGGGTTCTCCTCTCGGGTTGCACTGACGATGCATTTGGCCCAAAGTCACTTTAAGGCGTGTCCTACGTGTGGACTGTCATTTGCTCACAGCGACAATCTAGCGAGACACATGGCGAGTGCCGACCATTTTCCGAGGGGGCCTTTTGTGCCCGACGTTATGTTGCCGCAACAACAACAACAACAACAACAACAACATCAACAACAACAACAGCACGTCGTCGTCCCGCTGGATTTGTGCGTCAAGCAGGAACATCAACAATTTCTGGCTACGCTTCCGGTCAATAATAATAATAATAATGTCAAATTGGCCAAAGATGCGACGAGGAACGAAACTGTGCAGTGTCGGTGGTGCGATGAAGTCCTGGAGCGGTGGTGTGATTTCAGGTAAAATTGCAAGTCTTTTTCAATTGATGTGTAGGAAACAATTCCCTATTCCCGATTCCCTACGTCCTATGAGACGCAGGGTACCGAAGAAAGTTGATGTGCAGAAACTCTCATCACGTGATCACTGGGAATTCCTGGTGATCACCTGATAATCAGCTACACACCCCTTTTTTTTTCTCTCCCGGTTTTAATGGTGCAATCCTTTTCACCTCATGCATTTTTTCCTCCTAAACTGAACAGTCTCCCAGATACTCTCATTGCAGTAAGATGTCTAAAGATTTGCTGTCTGTTAAATATTGGAATATTTTGTGATTGATACTTTTTCATGTGAAATACATTTATTCTTGTCTTTTGGGATCCTACTGAGAATCCCCTGCCCTGTTCCTGGGCGGATTGTTTGTTATCATTCATTTATTGATTGAATATTTATTCTTTGTTGGCTCTTGCCATACATGATGTTTGAGCAATAGTTTTATTTATTTTTTATTTTATAGTACAGGTGGTGCCCCGCAATTTGACTGTAATCCATGGCTTATTTGACTTGAGTTGAATTGCAAAGTGGTCAAATTAAAAAGCAATGTCAAATGCCTACATTGTATTTTATGTTTTTGCCCATTTCTGTGGGTTGAATTGCTAGCTGACCTGCCAGCAAATTTGACCATTGAATTGCGGGATGGTCAAATTTCAAGGTACCACCTGTACTGTAGAAGTGTAGACTACAGAAGCATGATTCTGTTCAAATTTTTTAGTGTATCTCTTACTTTCAAACCCAATCAAGTCACATTTTCATTGCTTTTCTCTTTCCAGTGTTGATATAATAATGGGTAAAAAAAGGCCTTCAGAAAATTCAAGCTATGGAAGTTTGAGGGGAAAAGCATCTGAATCAGCAAGGTTTTTAATGCATTGTTTCTGAGGGGATTCAGACAGGGACTTGAAAATAAATTTGACATTGGGACGCATCAACTTGGAGAGGTTTGATTTATTGAGATTCAACAATGTGTAAGAATGGTTTTATTGGCGTTGAAAAAGTTAGTGGATGAATTTAGTATCGATAATTTTGCTGAGTACATTTTTTAAGTTGTTGACATCAGCTAATTTTATAGTTTGTGGTGTGGTTTTCGCGACGGATGCACGAGGTCCAGGAATTGTTTAATAATGTACTGTGCTCGACTTTCTCTCCATCTTTTTCTTTCAATATTTTTTTCTACTCGACTCTCTCTCTCTTTCTCTCTTTTTATTTCTTTCAATATTCTCCTGTCTCCTCCCTCACTTCCGACTACCTCATCGGGCGGAAAACCCGTTTCAGAGGGCACTTGAAGCGGAAACATTGCATCAAGAACCTGCCGGCGTCCGGACGTGACTCGAAAGCCATGCGGGAAATGATACGCACTCACGGGAACGCGCAGTTCGACCCGTCGTCGAACCCGTCTTTGTCATCAGCGTCGGGTTCTGCTCTTGCTGCTGCTGCTGCTGCTGCACCCATCATTCTGAAGCCGCAGTTTGAGCATTTGTTGGCTGCCTCGCAACCCAGCATGGTGGCTGCGATGAACCTGGTGGCGTCACAAATGGCGGCGACGGCCAGCCGGAAACGCATCGCATCGCCCGTCACCTTCAGGTTGGGAATTCTGATTTTTTGTGTCTATAAAATAGGTGGGCTCTCTCTCTCTTTCTAAATCGAAATTCAAGAGACCAGAAGCTCTTTTTTTTGTAGAGAGAATTTCGTTGCCTTGAAGCCCTAGAACATGTTGAAAGAACCCTATGGGACTGCAAAGAATCGTTTTAACCGAATAAAAAAAAAATCGGCGTAGACAAGATCGTTGTGGAGATAGAGAGTCTACCTGTAAATAAATGATTGGACGACGACCACATTTCGTTTTTTTTTACGTGCAATTGTATAGGATTTCCTCCAGTAATTTGTATATGCCGTAAAGGAAATTATTCTGTATTTTTCTTCCTTCTAAAAAGAATCGTTGCTTTTCGTTCTTTCAATAATAATATCTGTAAAATGTTCTGGGAAGAAAAACGGAAAGTACAGCAAGTGTAATTCAGAGCAATAAATTGTATATTCATGCAGGGATAACATATGTGCAGAATGTGAAATTCTGTCGCCGAAGATCGATCGCATTTCTTTTTCCCGAAATCCGTAAAATGTTTTGCAAAAACGGGAAAGTATATTCCAAAGCGATAAATTTCATATATACAGTACTGTACTTGAATATTTTACGAACATGGGTTGATGTAAATTGAATTGTATCCTTCCGAAGAACGATCACATTTTTCTTTCGCACAATCCGGAAATATTTTCCTTGAATCAGTAAATACTGTAGTAGGAAAGTGTCTTTCAAAATGAAAATGTTTAAAAATTATGAATTGGCTCTTTTATATGAACTGCTGTGTTTTCTGCATCCAAAGATCGATCGCATTTCGTTCTCTTGAAAATCGAAAAAGTTTCCCAGAAACACTCCGAAAAATATTTAAGAAATTTCATATTTTCATGCCGTGTACATAGCGACATGTATTTAAAGCAATATCGATGAAAGATGATGCTGATTTCTATTCAGTTTTACTAAACTGAACTTAAACCAGCTGAGAAAAAAAAGGTGTTTCGCCGGAGCTATTTTTCTAATTTGTAGCTTCTTGACCCGAATTGCAACCGCAATTAACGGATTTTTTTCAATTTGTCAGCCAACTGTCAGCATTTCAATCAAATTATTATCCTGCAAAGGACGAATAAATAACGTCTAAAATATTACGTAAGTGTAGCTAAAATTGGAGACCAGATCCGACAATGAAAAAACGAACCCAACCTAAGATATGACTAGAACTGGTCTAAGCGGACGAATCTTCTTGATAAAATACATTTTACCGGACTAATCCCAACTCAATAAACCCTGAAATAAACTAGAACCTATTTCCTATATAAAAACCGAACAAACGTCGGGAGAAAGCCTACCGTATTTGTTCAAAAGCAAAGATCATGGACTCGATTGCGAATTATTTAAATTGCCACGGGCATTGAGGTCCTTCGGAGTAAAATACCCGGAATACTTCATCATAGAAAAAAAACTCTTCTCCGTAGTCCGCATTTTCTTGGTTCACTTGAAATGAGCACTATAATTATGGCATAAGCTGCTGTTGAACCGTACACACGCAGTTAATGACTTCGGAGAATAAGTAGGCGTATTGAGGAATGAATGAACACGGAAGCTGCGTAGGTTCAGATGATGAATCAGATTTAAACGATTTTCCACTTCGCCTAAACGCCGCCCAGTGAACTTCAAAGATACAGTATCTATTTGCATGTGAATTCTCGTCTCAATTTAAACAAATTTTTTTTTTTCTCATCGACAGCAGCAACAAAATGATCAAACCGGACTTCGACAAGATGATCGAGCAGATGCAGAGTCGGATTCAACCGCAAAACGTGTTGGATTTGCTGGACGCCGGGCCCGTTTCGGAGGCCGAGAAAACAGTCAGTTTCGAGGAAATGGTGAGCGAGATTATGAACCAGTCGTCAAGGGCGTCGAGTGTCGACGAAGGCAGCGTCGACACTCACAAGAACAACCTCATCATCGTCGAGCCCGACCCCGCGGCGTTAATCAAATGCGAAGTCACTTCCGAACCTGAATCAGGTACGCATGCGAAGCTCAGTCAAATACAAGAAAAAACTCTTTACTTTACAACGATAAATTAAAAATGTGTAATCCCGAAACGCAGATTTGTGGATTTTCTCCATGATTATGTTTATTAGGGAATCATGAGTTGTTTCAGTGTGGGTAGATGTCGCTGTTAGTCACGACGAGAGCATTTCCATTTCCCCCGTTCCTCATCTCGGTGTTCCTAAACCCTTTTGGGTCCATGGACCAGCAAATTTCCATACGAGCATTAAAGTGTCATAACATCTTTGAATACTCAAAAAACTGTTGCTTGAAACTTGAAGGACTTATGGCAGGTATTTAAAAGTTTCTGCTTTTTTCAAAAATCAAGTCAAGGACCAATGAAGTAGCTGTAGTCTAATGTCTTCTAAAAATTAGGAAGGCGGGCTTGATTTCTCAGAAAGAAAAATTGAAATAATTTATTTCAGCAGGTAAAAATGGGTTTGAAGTGTTATTAGGAGACAAGCCAACTTTTATTTTTCATCAGATAATTGTAACTGCCATTGTCTCTCCAAAATTTCAGATAAAGAGAACAGACTTCATGGCTATACTTTTCATACATTTAATATGCTGAAGAAAATTCTCCGTGGACTGGGAAAACACTTCTGTGGACCAGAACTGATCCGCGGACCATGTGTTTGGGAACACTGTACTAACTAGACTAGTGTGTTACTCTAATCTACAAGTAGAATGAAAATACTGTATTGTGTACTTCTATAGAATGGAAATTTTTTTGAACAGCAGGGACGAATTTTTTTTTTCGTATTTTTCTTTTTCAATTTCAATGCTGTCAGCTCTTCCGCGCGCCGAACATTAACTTTTTCGAAACTTCCAAATCGATGCGGTAGCTGACGCAATAAAAATCACGGCAGGTCAAAGAGATAAATTATCCACTTTTAGTGTCAGTATATCAGTATTCATACCGTATTTTGTGTTCGTAATGGACATTCAGGCACGGAAGACAACGAATATGAGGAAGAAGATCAAGAAGAAAAACCAATTACCAAGGAAGAGGTGGACATTAGGCCCAGGACTCGTGCTCCAGTTCCTGCTTTGATCCCGGCGCCGAATATTCCGATATCGGCATCCGGCGCTGTCGTGAATAACGTCAACAAGAAATGTCCCCCGCCATTGATTAAACTTCCAAAACTGCACATAATTAGTCCATTGCCAGCTGGTGAATCCTTGTCTTCAGCAGCAGCAGCAGCAGCCTCATCCTTGCAGCCATCCATCGAACAAGTTTATCAAGTAAGGAATCCGAAAAGAAAAATGTTTTGAAAATCACGCCAACACTCTTTTCTTATGTGTGTCGTGATTTTGTCGTCTGATCGTCGAGTCCTTAACGATGATTGAATTCTCCGTGATTCAGCGATAAAACTGCTCAACAGCAGTTCAATTATAAAAAATATAATAATACATCACGGAAAACAAATGCAGAAAAACGAGTCGATTCAAAAAAGAATATACGCAATATGATGACTCAGATTTAAATTGACTAACTCGTAGCTTATTTTTGCACCCATTCAACAATGCTGCAATTTTTTATAGTCCAACCTCTTCAAGTCAAAATTCAAAGGGAGCAAACATTTGAGTTAATCAGGTTTTGAGTGAGGAAAGAAAATATTTTTGTTGGGTGAAGGAAAACAAATTACAGGAAATTGTAATTGTTGATATTCTAGACCTCCAATGGCTTTTAAATGAGTTGACAGGATGGAGGCAAGGGTTACTTTGCCAAATTGGTCTTTCACTTCCTTTCAAAGCACATCATTTCCTTTTCTCTTCCCTTTGTCAATAAAAGAATGACCAAAAGCCTCCAGAAAATGTATGAAGGTTTGTGGGGAGAGCCTTTGAGTTATGGAGGTTTTTAATGCATTGTTTCTGAGGGAATTCTGATGTGAACTTGCAAAAAAATTGATGTAAAGGAAAGAGGTATTTAATTTAGGATTTTTCGAGTTATTGAGATTCAGATGTGTTGAATCGAATGCATCTGATGATTGTTTGAACGCCTGTATATAATTCTATCGTAATTGTTCTGTACCAAAAAAAAATTGGAAACTCGGAAATTTATTTCTAATTAAATGTTTTCCATCAGCGATGGGCAACAGAAACTGATGCCGTTGTGGAGCCAACATTTCCGCCGAACCGTCGTAGAGCTGTAAGCAAATCCATCGGGAACAACAAATACTTCTCATCTTCGTCGTCGAGAAACTTGAACGCGTCGTCATCATCGTGTCCCGATTCCGGAGAAGACTCTGCCGACGGCCATCATCGACACCCGCATCAGTCCTCACAATCCCAACACTTTGACAGCACCGACGAAGGCAGTGTCGACGGCATTCCTGCTGTCGATTTCGAACAACAACACGCAGCTGATGCGTCGCACAGAATCTCGTGCCAATTGTGCGACCGGCGAGTGTTCAGTTCTCAGGAAGAGCTCGGATGCCACGTGGCATCCACGCATCCGAATCACTATTTCTGCGTCAACTGTAGCCAAGTTGTCGACGGGCATCTTGATGCCTTGGAAAAGCACATGGCGACCTGCTTCAAACAAAAAATGGCGCATCGGTTGCAGCACGCACGTATGACGTGAACGTGTTGTGTACTGTACATCACTCCCGCAACAACAAAAAAAGAAATCAGCTTGCGCGATGAGAAGTTCTCAGCCTTTTCAGCAAAATCATGAAAATATTTTGTCCCCGTTGTACAATTAATGTAGCTATCCGGATTAAAGCAGTTTACTTCTCATATAGGATTATTAAAGAAACGAGAAACACACTGTAACACCAGCAGTGAAACGTCCTTTACAGAAAACCCATGCCTCTCAACGTTTACGGGAACTAAAGCGACATCTATCTACGCGGAAGCGCTTTTTCGTCGTAACCTGTTGAGGAACGAACTGTAGAATACGAGGTTTAAAATACCGTATCCTATACTTATTCGGAAGTTTTGCTCTCCCCTGAACTTATTGGTGCTCTTAGAAAGATATACAGTACTTGAAGAAGCACTTTGTACAGATAAATATAAAATTCAAAAATTGTATTTTATCGTGGTCTGATACTGGAAATTGCCAAGGTTTGATAGCCGTATTCCAATGGAAGAAAGGTACTGTGATATTGAAACTTTCGTGTCACGAAGATTTCAATAAATGCCAACTCTTGAGGTAGCAAGTTTATAGTTGCCTGAATAGTTAGAAATGTGATAGAAGAAGATATTTAGCGAGTAAACGTAGACTTTGTCTTTTCGTATCAACCGTACAGTAGAATTTCTTATGATATAACTTCAGATCCAGACAGACACAGTACTACATCATAAAAATACAGTTGAACCCCAACAATGCGAACCTCCTTAAAGTCGAATGCCTTGTCCATATGTAAAAAAAAAAATGTTCAAGCCCTTGTCTGAATTCCTTTGGAAACAATGCATTTAAAACATCTCCAATTTGAATAAGGCATCAAACAATGATGTGTTTTGAAAGGAATTGAAAGACGAATTGAGCAAATTAACCCTTGCCTCCAACTTCAGCATCTGCCCTGTCAACTCATTTAATTAAGAAGCAATTTAAGTTTATATATCATTAATTACAATTTCCTGCAATTCTTATTTCTTTTCCTAAACAAAAAGGCTTGTTTCCCCAACTGGAAACCTCCCTTAGTAGAGATTTTTGAGGTCCCTTCAAAAGTTCAACTTGAAGAGGTTTGACTGTGTAATATTTATATTGGTAGTCTTGAATCTCAAGGGAAATCCACTCAATTGTTTACATTGGGGGGTATACATTTCAGGGATTTACAATATCCATCATCAGTTCTTCCGCTCCGGAAATGCGTTTGCGGAAACGCACGCTATCTTGCTGAAAGGCTGTGAACTTCCCACATAATATGTGCCTTTGTGTGTTTTTATTTTAGTTTTCATGACAAAAAAAAACCTGTGTTGATCTCAATGTCAGTCTCGCGATCTGCAACCAGAGGCTCATTTGTAACATGGTCTTCCAATGCGAATCAAAGTCTGTCTCGCGTAAAAAAAAAGAAAAAGAGGGGTCTCAATTTTATCTTCGAATTTTTTTCTATTGCTGGTTTTTCAACCCTTTGGAAAAAATGAAAATGATTGCTTTTTCGGCGTTGGAAACTGCTGGAGAAAACGATAATGGGTTCAATGTAGGTAATATTCCCGACGAATTATTTTAACCCTAGTGAACAGTAACCCTGCTGATGATGATGATGGAGGATGAGGAAATAATTTTGACCATCATCATCATCTGTCGTCATATTTTCGCTTTTGCCGACGAATGAACACGCTGTTTGTGTTTCAACATTCTCGGTGTTTCGGGATTGTGGAACTTTTTTTTTTTTTTGGTCTTTTTTTGACATGGTTCCAAATGCTTTTTTCTCGGGAAACGAAAGAAGCTGGCCCACTGATGAGGCAATTTTTATCCATTTTCGGGAAAGAACAGCTCTTGTTATTGGGCTATTCGATGTGCCAAGAATTTTTTCGGCGGTGAAGGGGCGATTGTCATGGAAGTGGTCTTGTGGACGATTAAAACTGATTCGAGTTCAGCTAAATTTGTATTTATGTTGAATTTAATTGAAAGAATTATAAGCGCGTTTTTTTTATTTACAGCTGTGAAACGAATGTGATCTTTTTCGCCCGAAAGTGAAGAACCATTGTTTCCGAGCGGATGTTCAGAAGTGTATTAGATTCCATTCGTGTGCTTTAATGAGGCAACAGTGCTTATGATGGACTTCTAAAAACAGTGAATTATTATAAAAATTGTGGAGATCCGCAGATAGTTTACCCAGTTCTAAGCTAGGTTAGCGATCTTAAATCATTTTAATCCCGAAAAAAGCACCAACGACACAATTTTATCTTGCGAGTCAAGATTTCATCGCATTTAATCTCAATAACTTAATCCAGCTATTGACATTTTTTGAATTTTCAAAATCCGCGTGAGCATATTCGATAATTTACTCGGGAAGTTTTATTTTGACCCGATTTCCTAACACATGATTTGCACCTCGCCGAAGAATTTACCCGAAGAAAATATTTAAAATTGAAGAATTGACTTGAAAGATTGACAATTGGCTTGAAAAATATTTCTATAAGAGACGTTTTTTAATTCTGCGCTGTATCGCGCATTAAAATATTCCTGATTTTAGATCCATATAAGAATCAAACGTTAAGTGCATTGGGGTGTACTGCAGATTTTTCCGCAGCAATTATTCCCAAAGTCGCAGACCAAATAATTTTTGCCATCGTAAGAAGACTCTTTTCCTCCCTCTTTTCAACAACAAAATATTATTTTTAACGGTAATTTATCTATTGAAATATGTTTTTTAATTTCGAACACATTGAAGAATAAAATCAACGTTTATTGCTGCACAAAATTCTTATTTCCAAGGGTGTCTGATGTAGACGAACAATTGACGTACAATTCAGTACTGAACTGTGCTCGAAGATGAACGACTCGCAGGAATATCACTTGGTCATACTGAATATATGCGAAATGCGCAGATTCCTGCACAAATACAGTAACGCGTTCAACTATGATGAAAAGCATCGTTCCAGATTTCCGTAGAAAATTGTAAATGTACTGTAAATCCGTGATTCATCGTTGCCCGGCAGCAGGAAGTCCAAGGGAGGGGAATTCCTCGCGTCATCTGATATCGTTTCGCCACCGAACACACGCCAGCACCATGAAGGTCAGTGTTTCCAAACTTGGTGGTGCCGAAGTTGGCGTGGATCGGAAGAACGTCTTTTCAGGTAAATTATTTTAAAATTGAGTTAAACTTATATTTTATTTTTGATACAATTCGCTGCCGAGTTGTTCCTAGAATTATGTAGCTGAAAAACCCTACTGTTGGGCCAATTATACAACAAAGAAGAGTTGTAAAAGAATTGGACACAGCAAGCAGCCTTTAGAGGCCGGATCCTCTTTAAGAGAGTCCCTTAAAGCAGCACAACTTTAATGCAGGCACAGGGTGACCACAGAAGGACAATAAGTATGCTCAGGCACACAACAGATCAGACAAGACAAATAAGCTCATCTTCTACACAACCGCCGTCAGGCAATCCTCAAGCAAGAGTACCTAAGTCCTTGGAGACTTTGTCCGGGCTTCGTTGCCCGAGATCCTTATCAGTTAGCTACTGACCCGGTTTACCGCAATGTGGCAAACTGGGTGCCTATCCGCTTCCTGGTCCCTGTGCTGCTGTTGCTGCGCGACGTGCCCAAGCAAGGATGCTGCGCTCAGGTCACGCCGCGTGGACGCAACCCCACACCTACTTCAGGATGAACATGACAAATTTTTTTAAAGGAAATGAAAAATCCTAAAAAAAATATTGTAAACAATACGGTTATTTTCAAAATTGTGCATTGACTGTTGCGTAAATGTTTAATGCATTATGATTATGCATTATGCTTGTCAGAGGTGTTAAACATTATGTATTCTCATTGAATATAATGTTTAACACCTCTGACAAGGCAAAACTTAGTTCAACATTTCCAGGGAATCTCTGACCAATCTTTCAGAACTATAATGCATTTGAAACATTCGTCGTTGTAGTTCATAATACAGTATTCAGAATTAACCTTCATTTTATAAAATTTTCTATGACCTTGTGTTAATGAACTATGGCTAAATTTTATAACATCTGTGCATGCCAGGAAAGTGATTCGAACTTCGACATGTCATCATGGTTATTTTTTTCTGACTCAAATCAGTGAATTCCATTTTGGTTCGAATAATTGCTGCATGTGCAACCTTGCCCAGTGTCGCAGTAATGTATGGTCAAGCAGTCAAATAAGGATTAAAACATTAGGATGTGTCATGATCATTTTTTGATAATATTTGACAAACAATTCAATTCGGACGCAGCGAGTCTGCTTCAGATTTTCGAACAGATTTACATATTTCAAGTCAAACTTGCAATTTCATTTTCGAAAGATGTGGTAAAGTTGACGCTGTTATATTCAGTTCTTTGTGCATGCATGTATAATATCATGAAGTGCAATTATCTCACGATAAGTAAGTCAGAAATTAGTAAAAAATTGGTATGCATTGATCTGCACCTTTTCTATCCCACTGTTCAAAGATGCTAGATAGGGAATAAATATTGTAGATTGTGAATAAATTGAGTGTTGGAAGGTCTGATTGCATCAATCTGGGCGATATATAAGAGTATATGTCACTTCTGCATGATATACCCTAACCGGAGACGCTGCTTATCCACTTCAGCGATTAATTCGCGGGATTACTTGAAGGAGACGATCAAGAAAACCCGGTACAGTATTGTACTGTATAATTCACAGGGTTTGTCGACTTCTGATGGACCACGATGTGTGTGTGGTGCCGCGGGGGGAAAGAACTGCAGGACAGAGATTCACTGGCGATATCACTTTTGAATGCGTCCACATGGACATTGAATCGTATACCAGGATGATGTCGCTGTTGGCCCTCAAATGCCATGCGACCCTCGAACAATTATTGTGTGGCTACACCTAATACCTGCGGAAATGGAAGAGCAATTGATTTCTAATTTGACACCTGTATTGTGCTTATTTTTACAGTAAAGAAGCAGACGACTAATTCTGGAAATGTGCGCTTTCTTTAAAATTCAACATGTTTCAACCCAACTGCTTGAAGACCAAAAAAATCACTAGTTTTTCCTCCGAAATGGTTACAATTCTCCTCAAACAGAAGATTTCAGTTTTCCTGAATCAAAAACTCCACCAGGTCCATTTTCAAGTAAATATTTCCTGTTTCTGTTAGCCAGTTGCCACAGGTATCCGTCAACTATAATTTTCATCTGCCTTTGAGAAACTTACCCCGGACGAACAAGATCTAGGACTCAGATGAATGAATCAGGAATCCGTCGTTTGGTTTATACAGTATGTGGTGTTCGAGCCGTTTGACAGCGGAGACGCATCAACGACAAATGAAGTGGTACTGATTCATTTGGACTATTTACTCAGGCGGATAGCTTATTCAACTACCCCATCCACGCATGCGTATGCCCTGGTCAGACATGACCGTCGTGCCACAGTAGTTCATCGAGTTGCGCAGCGAGTGGTTGTGTGCATCGCATTTGCTCTCGAAGTTGCCTCAGGCTTTCGTTGTTTCAGCCGAAAACCCGATAATTCTTGCGAATTTGAAGTTGAACAAGCCTGAAACTTTTCCGGTGAAGAGATACCAAGCGCAGTCAGAGGAAAAGTGTGCCCCTACATTGAGACCGAATGATCGACAGTGAATTCAACCAAGACGACCCCAGCAGAACTGATAATTGATCGATGTCGAATTGAGTGCTTGAAACGTGAATAGATTTTCAAGTTGTGTTTCTGCTGTGAGTTTTTCAAAAACTCGAGACTTTGCCGTGTCAGTCCTTCGATCAAACCTAGTATGAAAAACCGTATGCTAGTTTCGAACCGTGTGGTTAATAAATCCGAAGCACAAGAATAAAACTGCTTGTATCCACATAGAGATCAAAGTATTGGCTGTGATTTTCAACGACGACGACATAAAACTGTTCTTGAATTAAAATTTGGATTGAGTTTTTCAAATTGCTGGTCATCAGTAGCTTTCGTTGTGAACGTTTATGGAAAAAGTCGAGAAATTGCTCAGTTGTTCCATAGAATGACACGCGGAAAGATGAAAATACTGCAAGTCGTTTCTGCAGTTATTAATTACCGGTAATTGCACCGCGTGGAAATTCCCACTTGAATGATTTATAATTTAAAGATTCGTATTTTAGCCCTGCTACAGGCAATAATGCAAATTTAATTTGACAGACGGATGAGACGGTAACACGACTGCTATTCGTAATCTTTAACCTCACTCATCCTATTTACGTGTACAGTATATGAATGATTTGTTCATTGCAATCCCCGGTCAACCTACCTAATTTGTTTATCCGTTTTAGTTAATAAACCATCTCAATTCTATTGCAAAGTTCATGTGGCTATCACATAATAGATGCGATCCGAATCTTATTATTAATTAGGTTACCTTTTATTCAAGTTGGTTTGGGTCATGGATGCTGAGCATAATTATCACTGCGATCGATTTAATAAACCGGTTGCGTTGACAATAATCCCGACTATAATGCCTGTTCCTGTTGTTCGAATTCGAAATTGCGACTTAAAGTTTTATACAGAATTCGATTAAGGACAATTGATATCCTCCTTTCGAGTGAGTTATTGACGCTCATGAATCAAACTTACGCATGAATCTGCGTGGTAAATATAAATGCTGTTAACTCCCTGAACGATGTTTCGGTACGTTTCTTTAAATTACTGCTAATTTATTCGTTATACTGAGTGTTGCTGTGTAGAGAAACTGCTACATTGATAGAAGGTCCCTTGGGAGCAGAAAGAAAAACTGGTTTCTAGGGAATATCAAAGCCTAAATCATTTAACGTAGTCCGCGTGTAAAATTCAATGGTGTTGAGGAATGAGAACAGTTAGATTACCACTGCATTTTAGTCTTCGGATTGTGTCAATTTAGCGAGACGTGTAATCCGATTTATTCAAAAACTATTTGTAATATTGTACTGCCCTCATTTCTGGCCATATTTTCCATTCATTCTGGCAATCACTATACAGATTAATTACTGCGTACGTATCTCCTCTGACAGAGCAATACATGAAACGAAGAACTTGCTCAGTATGTTCGTACGTTCAGTTTTGAGAAGCTGTTCGAAGCTGGAGACAAACTTTGGGCCACTCATGATAAATATCTCGATCGAGACATCATAGGGACAAATCAGCTGCAGTAAACAAGTTTTTAGTCAAGATGCAAGCTGACTTTTATCTTCGGACATCATATGTTTGCTGGTGAGATCTCTGATCTCAGCCCAAGACTCCGTGATGATTATTAAACTGTATACGAGGAACCACTGCACATGTTTTTGATGACTCATTCAGAAAAAAATTCGACTTGAGCTCGTTTAAAAATGTAAACTGGATATCACGAGGAACTTTCGTGTAGCCGAGTGTTGAATAATGGGCGAAAGGCTTGGAGAAGAAGTTGCCGCATTCAATTCATCATATAATCAAGAAGGGTATATAGACTTCATATGTTTTGCTGACGTATCCGTGTTTTATTGGTTTAGTTTTGAATTGGGAAAGTTGTTTTGATTTTGTCGTTATTTTTAATTCGTGTTATTCGTGGCGTGCTTCTGTTAAATCCGATGAATTGAACAAAAGAAGCTTTTCTTTCAATGTTGTCTACATAGATATTATTGTATGATCAAAAGTTCTGTGTTCGTCGTTTGGACAAAGTGCTGTGACTCGGGAAGATGGAATTGCGCAGATTTCCATTCATGTCCGTTCTACATTGTGCAATCACGTGTTCGATACTTTTTACGCATGAAGCCTCGGGCAATGAGATCGCTAGAAGCGGCAAAAATCAACTGAGTAACCTGAAGTTCACGACTGACCTTTATTCGGTAAAAGAAGACGAATCCGGCGGTGGTCTTAATTCGTTTAAAATTTTACGAGAATCCCTCTTCCATGTAGCGCTTGAACCGAGAGAAACCGGATGGCGAAGTTTTCTTCTCGCCATTCAGTATTTCCCTGGCTTTGGCAATGTTGAATGAAGGAGCAAAAGGAAATTCAAGCTCTCAAATCCGCAAAGCTTTGGGTCTTGCCAAAGATGATCTGGCCGTTCGGAACTCTGTTAAAACGATCCTACAATCCATTGAGGTGATTTTCCGATTCGAAATACTTCTCATTATTTCTGTAAACTAGGGTAATTTCCGAACTCAGTTACCTGTAAGTGATCGATATGTGAAACGTGAACAAATTTTGTCCTTTGAAAGGACGAAACAAAAAGTAGCTTGCATTTGATTCTTGATGGTCGCAAACGTTGACTCGATCCAAGTGTGGTCAAACTTTTTCTTCGATGTATGTGTGTATAATTTTATCGCTACCCAATTAGAATATATTTCTACGTGATATTCCGTTACTAATTTGGTTCGTGTAAATACTGTACCTTTTATTGATTCAACTTGAAAAGCTTTTATAACCTTGGATTATCATCCGAAGTTATGCTAATGAGCTTATCTCAAGAATGAAACAGAATATACGAGTAAGTGCGACGCAGTCTTCTCAAACCTAAATTTGTCATTTGTTGAGTCAAAAATTTTGATTTTCGAGGATCGCATGATACAGTATTTCATTATCCGTAATTCTTTGCCCGGTGAATCGAAGTTGAGCAGTGATTTCAAAGTGATGTTCATAATGTATTATTTCTTCATCAGAGCGACAAGGACAATGTTACTCTCGATATCGCAGCGAAATTATATTCGGCGAAGAATGTAGGAATCAACGAAGCCTTCAATGAAACTCTCGCAAACCACTACGAGACTAGTATCGAACACTTAAATTTCTGGGACTCGGAAACCGCGAGAAAACGTATCAATGACTGGATAGAGTCGCAGACTCATCAGAAGATTCAAGATCTCCTACCACCGGGTTAGATATACTGTTTGTTACCACCGGGTTAGATATACTGTTTGTTTTCTTACAAAAAGAAAATTTTGAATTTATAAAAAGCTCTGGCTCCTTTTCGTTTCCTTGTCGATGAATCTAGGTTCCGTGAAGATAGGTACAATGATGGTGCTGGCGAATGCGGTTTATTTCAAGGGTGAATGGTCGCAAAAGTTCGACAGAGCAGCGACAGCGACGGGGAATTTTTTCGCGTCATCAAAGGAAATTGTCGAAGTTGACATGATGCGAGTGACGGCTGATTTTCCAGTCATGGAAACGGATCAAGCATATGTGATAGATTTACCTTACACAGTGAGTTATACCGAAAAATTGTTGGTGAATTATTTTTTTTCTAAGTCAGAGCGAGTTCAAAAATCCCAGAATTTTTTAATATTTTAGAAAAATGCTCGTTTCCGTGAATTATCGACTCAATTGCGCTGCGTTCATTGAATATTTGTAGTAACTATGTTCAGTTTTCTATGTTTTCGAAGTAGGTCACCAGTTATTTCCCTGGGTGGAGGTGAAAATTCAAGCCCGCAAATTCTTTCTGCTCCACGTGAGTGTGGGGTAAAAAGTTGAAACAATGTAAAGATACTCAGAACAATTCAGAATTTCCCTCTGCTTTTCATATTCAACGCATGAAACCCGAGCAATCACATGAAATGTTGGGCATGTGATAAACTTGAAATATCTAATACAGTATTGTGTTTGCGTTGGATGAGTTAGTACTGTTATTGTTCTTCATTAATATCCTACTGTGGGAAAAATTCCATCTGTCTTTCGACAAGTTCGACATGTTCCAGAGGAAATTTCCGCCTAGCTGTGGTAAAAACCAGAATTAACTCAAGAACCAAAATGCTCGATTTGAAAGAGCATGTGTCAAGGTTAACAAATAAACAAATATTTTCGAGTGAGTGACTGAAGAAATATCCTCTGTTTACGATGCAGGATACAATGGTATGCTGTTCGTCTTATCACGTTCTTCTTGTTCAGTAATGTTAAAATTACTATCATTGAACTTCATGAAAATGCTTCCGACTGTAAAAGCCAGCAATCGAATGCTTAATTTCGTTAGATGGATCAAGTATATGCCATATAGAGCGGCAGACTTTTTCACATCACATTTTCCATGAAAAAAAGCTGAAAAAACTTCTCGAGTTACTCGATTCCCCAAGATTTCAAACTTCGAGAATGTTCTTGTTCAGGGAAAGAAAGTTTACATGACGCTGATTGTGCCAAAGCAAAGACGCGGGCTTTCAACGATAGAGAAAAACTTGACGGAAACAAAATTGAAGGATTTTTTGCAAGGCCATCGAGAATCCAAGACCGTGAATTTGATACTGCCGAGATTCAAGATTGAATCGTCATTCAAGTTGCGAAAGTTGTTATCGGAGGCAAGTGTTCGAAAAAAATATGTGTTCCCAAATGTGTTCATCTTTGCTGATTAAGAATATCTGTATATATAGGTCGGAATCACCGATATTTTTAGTCCATTGGCCGCCGATCTCAGCGGAATTTCAAACACATCCTTGTTCTGCGATGAAGGGTACCACAAGGCTTTAATTGAGGTGAATGAAGAAGGTGCTGAAGCTGCAGCAGCTACAGGTACAGTATATAACAAAGTTATTAAAACAATTGAAATTTCCCAAAATTGAAATGTCCCAATAAAAAAATATGACTTACTCGAAATTTAAAACGAATCCACGGCATTGGAGAAAAATATAACCGGTGCAAAACGAGTAATAAAACATAAGAAAGGCTGCTCAATCTAAGCTCACAAAATTGATGCATTTCAGACATTTTATTCTTGAAGATCTTTTCCAATTCAAAAAAGCACCAATTTTTGGCTATGCGAATCAAGTGTTTTTCTCGATCGCGGTTTTTGACTCGGTAATTTGGAAATTTTCCCCGTCGAATTGTGTCTTTCCTGCTCTTTGTGGCGCGCGTTGTTTTTTGACTGGCCGGTTATTGTAGACGTTCTCTACTGTCAAAATGTGCCAAAAAGAAGGCGTAATCGTGACCTTTTTTTGGCAGTGATTACCTTGATTGAGTTGTCGAGTTTTGATACCTCCTTGGATATAACCGTGGATCATCCTTCGCTCATTGCTATTCAACACGTGGACTTGGTCGAGCCGTTGTTTTTCGGTCGCCTGAGAGTGCCAAAAACTCCTGCTGAGTCGATAAATGCTCCTCAGAAGGCATCAGACCCTGCTTCCCCCTCTGAAATCCCGGAATCTACCGAAACGACGCCGATTGAGAATGACACAACAACCTGGACTTCGGATTTGTCTGACATTTCGACTACCACCGTCAACCCAGGACATGAAAATGTAACGGAAAAATCGAATGATGCTGATCTCAAAGTAAAAACGCAGGATTCGGAAAAGAATCACGAGCAGAGTGTGACTGAAAAGGCGGATCCTGCTTTGCTACTAAAGTTGAAGAAGTTGGTTGCTGGACCAAACCTGGATTCGAATGGGAAACCTCAGAAATCAAAGCCTCCAGTCTTTCCCAAGAGAAGTAATGCAACCCACCGAAAGTGATCCTGTCCTCGGAGTTGACAGGTTTATTTTTTGCTGTGACAATTGTATTGATGAACTTACGTGTGCTGGAGACTTGAATGCTTGCCGCGTTATTTCCTTTGTAAATTGCGTTGAATTCAAAAGATGTGTAAAGGAAAATCCTCAATTTAACGCATGATTTTAAAAGATTTTTTAAGCTTTTTCCTTTAGTTATATTCTCATGGAATTTTAAATTCGAGTATCCGAGAAATAATCGAATCCCATTTGGACATCCTGAACCATCATGTATATTTACTGTATACTGAAGTGGTCTCTGTATTTTTCATTCCCACCTTGAATCGGAAGATGCGTATGTATGTATGGCAGGAATATTCATTCCAGCCCGTGTAAATCTCGGAGAATTTTTTGATGGAATTTATGAAAAGAAACAACTGTATTTTTTCGTGTATGCTTTTTCGTGGCATAATTCTTTGAGCGTAATATTTTTTATCTATTTTAATTTTTTGCAGTCGCGCAAAATGCCCGGCAAAACACAGCAATGTGCCTTTATTTTTCTCAGTTCGTTTCTCGCTGCTCTCATTCTTGGATCTACTTCTTCGGCGAAAGTTTCTCAACCACGAATTGAGTTGAGTGGGTTGAAATTCACTACAGAACTCTACTCGGTGAGTGGCTTGAATTTAAAATTTTACCTGTACAGTATATACTATAGTATTGAATATACAGTACTGTACACCATTGAACTTCGAAGTCAAACGTCAAGGGACCAAAAAAAAATTTTAGTTCTGGAGGTTTGAATATGCGGAGTCTTGAATATGTTGAATATGTGGAGGTTCAACTTGAAATATTTACTGGAGCACTACATGCCCTCAAGTAAGATATGCACCAGGGTTTTTCAGTTGTGAGTTTTGATAAAATCCTATCCCAAATGAGATGCGCACTCCATTTCCAGTGACTCTGATCTAAAACGACAATATTTTAAAAATAAGAACACTCAAAATTGATTTTAGACATGATCAGAAATTGAATTTTCCTAATTTTTCATTGTTTCCATGAAGATAAGTTTTCCTAGCTGTTAAACCAGGCCCAACATTTCCCATTAGAATTCAAGAACGGTACAATATACTGTATAATGCAAACCAAAATTCTTGAAACTTAAAAAAAGTGCATACCTGCATATGATGTGCATCTCCATGCTTTCCTTTCAATTCAGAGGAAACGTGAGCGTGGTACTTGAGTAAATATGGCGCATATATACTGTACTGTATACTTCATGAACTGATGTATACGGTATATTTTTTTTATTTTTTTTTAACTGACGTTAAAATGAATGCCATTTATATAGCTTCTGAGGCAAGACAAAGCGGGTGGCGACGTTTTCTTCTCACCAATGAGCATTTCAACCGCATTGATAATGTTGAACGAAGGAGCTCGGGGTACTTCAACAACTCAAATTCGTTCGGCTTTAGGATTGTCAAGTGATGATCAAAAGATCCGTGGGTCATTCAAATCGATAGTGGATCGAATTCAGGTTGGTTTTAACGATAAACCGTGGCGATGTTCCTGAATATTCTAAATAAGTATCAAATCTCATCTGTAGAATAATAAAGGTAACGTGACGCTCGACCTTGCCGTTAAGCTTTACGCCAACGCCAACGATTTTCGCCTGAATCAAACGTTCAACGACACTTTGGTGAAGGAATACAATGCGGAAATTGATGTCTTGGATTTTTCGAACTCTGGAGCAGCTGTGAATCAAATTAATGACTGGGTCGAAAAGGTGACCCATGACAAGATTCAAGACCTTATGCCGCCAGGTACGTCGGCAACAAGTTTTATTGGTTCTTTTTTTCATTTCCAACACCTCGTGACTTATTCACGATCTCTTGAAATAATTTTCATAATATTTAGATTCCACTTGAATAAACTTGCTGCATTTAATGTTGACAAAAATTTAATGCCAAGTGGCTTAAATGACGAAATTTTTCCCGTTACGAATTTTGTTTTCCCAAAAGGCACAAATTTCAACAGATTTTCAAAAAATCTTCGGAATCCCTATAAAATTTGGGAAAATGTGAAAATAAGGGATGACTTTTCCATTTTTTTGTCTTTGAAATTTTTAAAATTGTGGAAAGTTTAAACTTATCTGGCTTACTTCAATTTCGTACTAGTTTATTTTTAAATTCACGATGGTATACAAAATTGGGCAATTTCAATGGATTATTTTTGTGTTTTCGGTGAGTGTCCGGCAAGGATTAAATAATCTACAATGCAGTCTTCGGGGAGATTGCGTTTTGCATAACGAAACGCGCCAAGCAAGGAACTGATTTTCGTTATGCAGGGAATCACTACTGTATGGTAAACATAGATTAAATTGGAAGAATTTTCCTTTGACCTGGTTAGTTAATTACAGTATTTCTATTTTTAAAGTTTTGAGATGAGGTTCGGTGAGTTTTGCGGGGAATAGGATTCTTTTTCGCATGAAAGAATGAAAAGAACCTCCTCATTTCTTCTGTTAATACTCCAATATTCACATTGATCATGAAATCCAACGCGTTTCCAGGCTCGGTAAATGAGGAAACGAAGCTGGTTTTGGCGAATGCAGTTTATTTCAAAGGCGAATGGGCGCAAAAGTTTGAGAAAGCCGTGACCACGAAAGGGAATTTTCACGTCTCTCCTTTGCAAACGATCACCGTTGATATGATGAGGATCATGGATGAATTCTTCGTGGTGGAAATGGAGGACGCTTACGCAATTGATCTTCCGTACGAAGTATGGGAAAGTTTTTCTTTAAAATTTTAAGATATTTAATATCAAAATTTTCAAACGATAATTTTTGTTGACCACTTCAAATCTGCAGTTTCATTTTAAAAGCCGTATTACTTTCGTTTAAGATGTGTGGTTTTTTTTAATGAGATTCGAAAACGTTTTCTGGCTTTTCTTTTCCAGGGAGAAAAAGTTTTCCTGACGATAGTTGTTCCTAAGGAACGAGATGGTTTGTTGGACATCGAAAACAAGCTGAACGACACACTTTTGCACGAGTATTTGTGGGGTGGACGAAGGAGAAGTCGAAGAGTTCGTTTGATGATGCCGAAGTTCAAGATTGAATCGTCTTTCGGTCTACGAAAATTTTTGCCCGAGGTTCGGATCGATGAATTTACGAGAACACATTGGCGCATTGTTTACGAGGGAAACTGTGAATTTTAAATCTGCAGATTGGAATTTCCGATGTGTTTAATCCGTCGTCGGCAGACTTGAGCGGGATTTCGAGCGACCCACTGTTCGTGGATGAAGGATTTCACAAGGCCTTTATCGAGGTCAACGAAGAGGGCGCTGAAGCTGCTGCAGCAACAGGTACAATTTTTTTCGCTTAAAGCATAATATGCATCAAAAGAATCCCAAATCATCTGAGATTTGTACATTTTTGTCAAAAATTCGAATCGATAATGGCATGTCTAAATGCGGAAGCATTTAACGAAGAAGGGTGCTGAAGAAGCATGTAAAAGTCGTTCGTGAAACATAAAATGCCTCAACCGAATAGCAATCATCTGAGCAATCATCATTTGAACAGTATTGTCAAAATTTCAAATCGTTGAAGGCGTGTATAAATGCGGAAGCATATGGCGTATGACAGTTTTTGTGGTTGAGGACAGTTTTTTTGGTTGAGGAAAATACGAAATTATAACTTTTCTATACAAAAAAAGCACGAGAATTCATATTTTTCCGAGAATCATGGCTTTCCAAAAGAAAGCCCCGGGGCGTAAGGCTTTTCGTTGGAGTATAAAAAATGTGGCCGTGAGCAGCTTTTGTTTTCATTTTTCTCCCGAAAGTTCTGACCCTGGTGCCGTTGTCGGCAATCCTGGATTTTTCGCAACCCCTCGAGATTAACGTGGATCAACCTTCGCTTATCGCAATCAAGCACAAAGACATTCAAGAGCCGATATTCTTCGGTCGACTCAGCGCTCCCGGCATTCACGACAAAAAGACACCGGGAAAATCCGCGCCAAGAACCCCTGCGATTCCCGCACGTGTCGACGGGAAAAAGCCGAACTAATCGACTTACATACTGATGCACTATATACTTGGTATGGGTCAGATCTTTTTTTTGAGTTTTTGAACAAGGTTGAAATTGCATTGCGGGGCTTTATTTGACTCGGTATGAACACAAGAAGTGATTGGAAATTACGAAATTTTTTTCAAGTCACCGGATTTGAATACAAGCATTTGACGAATAAGCCAGATTATTCGATTTGATAAACTTTAAATCACGGATTTGGCTTCTTTCATGATCAATTTTTGACTGGTGCTGAAATTGTTCTGCGAATGAAAAACACAGCGCACTTGGGTCGAAATGTTTTTTCTTCTACAACTTTTTAATTTAAAACTTCGAAACCTCCGGATTCTGTGTTCTTTGTTGTCACATGGGCCTCGCCAAGTTGTGCTAAATTTTAAAGTCCATTTATGATTTCGTGCAATATAAATTATGAGGCAGAATAGCTTCGATCATCACGTAACTTACTTTATGAAGAATACGCTGATGTACGATAGTAAGATATACTCGAAGATTGTAAATCGATCGCCAAAATCGGTTCAGTTTGAAAAAATTTGAAATTTCTTGCATTCAAAATTTGGAGATTTGTTTTTGGGTATTTTCGGAGCGATTCGAAGGACTATGATGTGCTATTTGCATGGTGATTCGAAAATATTTTTTCCCCAACTGAATTTTGATCTTCATTGCGTCCATTATAAGCTGATGTTATTTGTCAATGCGCTCCGTGTTTTGAATTTTTTTCCTTTCGAACAGAGGAATGGCGATTTTGAATTTTTGTGTTCTTCTTGTCGTGATATGTTTTGCTTCTGGATCGAGTTCTTTGAAAACAGAACAAGTTCAACTCACTAGTCTCAAGTTTGCGGCGGATATCTATTCGGTAAGTGTTGCATTTTTCGTAATTTTTTGCTTCATGTAATATTGAACAATGGTTTTTTTAACTAGCAATTGCTGGAGAAAAACACACAGGGAAATGTATTGTTTTCCCCATTGAGTATTTCGTTGGCATTAACGATGCTGAACGAAGGTGCTCGAGCGAATTCTACGTCGCAACTTCGCTCAGCCTTGGGTCTCGGATTAGACGATGAGAAAATTCGCAGGGCGTTCAAATCTGTCGTTGATAAAATCGAGGTAATGTAAACAAAATTTTTTTATCCTATGCGCTTCTATAGCTGTGAATTAATTCGGTGTCAGGTTAGGAAAGGAAGCGTCTCGCTGGATATCGCTGCAAAACTTTACTTCAGCAACTCATCGGGCTTCGCCATACAAGACTCGTTCAAACGAACGTTGACAAATGATTACGACTCAGATGTCGAAAGTTTGAATTTTAATTCTTCGGAAGATGCCAGAAGCCACATCAACCATTGGATCGAACAGAGAACTCACGGAAAAATCAAAGATCTTCTGCCGAACGGTAACGTGTAGAAATGATTTATATCTTATACATATTTATAGTATTGCTTGGTTTGAAACTGAGGAAATATGGTGTTTGTTCTATATAGGGTCTATTAATTCAAACACGAAGATAGTCCTAGCGAATGCTGTTCACTTTAAGGGAAGTTGGGAGCAGCCGTTTGATAAATCGCATACAGAAAAGCAAGACTTCCACATTTCTCCGAATAAAATCATACAAGTGGACATGATGAGGCTGTTCGACGGACTTTTCCTCACTATGGAGAATGAGGATGTTTATGCTGTCGACATACCTTATCAGGTTTGAGCGAGACGGTTTTTTCGAAATTTCGAAAAATTCCTTCTGCTTTTTCGAATTTAATCCCCATTAAAGGTCCGATATGTGCGTGTCTTTGGTCTGCTGAAAGTTGTTGTCATTGTCATTCTTTGAGTGTAACTACTGAAATATGTAAAATTGGTTCTGCCAAATATTCATTAACGTTGTAAATTTAAAACCTCATCTGCGTATGTACTTGCATCCCTTTGAAGCAACTTTCATGAAACTTAACTGCTAAATATTCGTACACCTGACAATGCAGTTTGTCAATTTATTTTTATGTACATTTTTGAAGTAACTTGCTTTTTTCTGATCTTGATCATTAGAGTAATGATCGGAGTTCTCCCAAATCTTTTTCCATAATTACCAATGAACTCAAAAGAATTCTCTTCGCCCATGTATATCGTATTCACGCAATTTATTATTTTAACCATGTATGTGGCTATTTATGAAGGGAGAGGAATTCTGGATGACGGTGATTGTGCCAAAGAAACGATACGGATTGAAAGACATTGAAAAAACCCTCAATGAAACCATTCTTCACGAATATTTATGGGGTGGCCGAAGCAGAGAAAGATTGCGCCTGAAAGTGCCGAAATTTCAAATCGTCTCGTCATTCGGACTCAGAAAAATCTTGGAAGAAGTAAGCAATTTCAGCAGTCGGCGAAATTTTTTATTCTCAGCATCACTGCTGTATAAAATCTTTACCTCGTCGAACTTCCTGTCGCATCGGAAGCCTGAAATCCAATGAAAAATTAACGATATTCGAACATTGACCCAATCGCTATAATCTTTGAATGAACGGAAGTGAATCGTTGCATATTTTATGTATTCGCCTGGGGAAAATCCAAAATAAAGCCAAGATGTATGTCGCTTTCGCAGATGGGAATAAAAGACGTCTTCAATCCTCATGCGGCAAATTTGAGCGGGATTTCTGACAAACAGCTCTTTGTTGATGAAGGATATCACAAGGCTTTCATCAGAGTCGATGAAGATGGTTCTGAAGCTGCTGCTGCGACTGGTGCGTATATTTCATTGAAAGCATTTCACTTTTACATACGAGGGTTGTCCCACTTGGGCGCCTTTCTGGTTATTTCTTGAGAAGGTATGGTTGTAAAAAAAAAAAAGTATAATATAATCCATGATATTGTAAGGTACTGGGATTTTTCAGGATTTTTGAAAGACATTTTTCAATTTACCGCGTGCAAAACTGAATTTTTGTTCGTTTTAATCGCTTTCTTTTCTACATTTTTGGTAATGTTGGAACGACGGAAAAATTTCAGTTTTCTGCTGGCGTGATCATCACGCAATAAATTGAAACAAAAATGTTTAAATCCGAAAAAATGTCTCTGGGCCGGTGCTGAAAATTTGTCAGGCCAGCAGAATATTGAAATTTATTTGATGTTCTAACCATTATCTAAAATTTAGAATAGATCGTGATTAAAACAAACAAAAATTCAATTTTTTATATGGTCTGAAAAAAATAATTCACCCCCTGTGGCATGGGTGTTGGAGAACTCAGGCCGTCGCTCGAAAGGTTTCACTTATCATCCCGCAGTGAAAAATGTTTTTAAAAATCGGAAAAAATGCCAGAACCTTACAACGTCATGGGTAGTGTCAAAATCTGCTTTTCTCAAGAAAAAATTATGATTGCCCCTCAATTGGGACAAACCTCGGATGTTTATGGACACATGAAATCGTTCTAAAGAAGTGTGTAGGTGATCGAGTGATCTTGTGTTTTCCCCTCTCAAACTTCTTCACGAATTCCAAAGTTATTCTGCATGCGGGAAATTACAGTTTTCAAGGATATTTTTTGTTGTTGCAGGAGGTGTTTTGCACTTGTATTCTTTGCCCGCTGAAATGGCAGTGGACCAGCCATTTTTCTTGGCGATCAAGCATATTGGCGTAATGGATCCAATATTTTTCGGTCGTGTGGGTGACCCAACAGAAGCAGAGACTTGAAACATGAACTACTTCAGTCAGTACAGGAATATTTAGCCAAATTCTTTCGTACCTGATCTCTCTTCGGGAATTCAAGAGCACATTTCTCGACGAATTACTGAAAATCGAAATGTGGGCATGAGTATATCTAATGTATCGTGCATGATGACGAGCACCGCGGCTTAATTATGAGTTTTATGACACCCATCCATGATGCTTAGCATTGAATTTTTCGTTCAATTATTGGGTCGGTACGCTGGTTGAAAATGTGGGTCTCAAAATTACTCATGGTGAACCGTGATATTTAGCACAGTGTGGGAATAATAATTTTTTTTCGAATTTTTTGTTGCGGAAGATAACTTTTCATTCCAAACCGCTTCAAAAAGTCCGGCGAAAATCAGATTAATTCGCGTCTTCCTTTTTTTTTTCTTTTTTAATCCGGAGCGAATGGATGAATGATTTGACAGATTCGCAGCAGTGGAACTAGTTCAATGAAAGCATCCCTTTGTGAACTCTTCCCCGTTTCTGTTCCGGAAAGAGAGCATGATTTATCGTATCTACACTGCAGGTACTGAGCAGAAAGATACGCTGGTGGAAAAACTTTCGGCATCGCGTCTCAGTGCGAACTATTTGTGATCTCACTCAGCTTCTGGTGAAAGCATGTTAAAATATTTTGATTCCTCCGCCAGCTAAGACTGCGTCAAGGTTTTGAAAAGGTTTCCGTTTCTGAATATTTTCGTCTCCTATACAGTACTACAGTTTCATTTATTGGCACGATTTCTGTCGAATATCGTCGTTATTATGATTCGTTTTTACGCAGTAAATAAAAAGGTGAATTGTTACTTCACGCTTCAATAACGAGTCGTGATTGCACAGAAAAATAACAGTACGATGCATCTGAAATGAAACGGCAATTTATTCGTGAATCATAACTCGCTTGCTTCCGAGTTCAGCATCTATATAGTAAACAAATTCCAGAAAGAATTCAAGGCCTAGAATAGTCATCAATTACAATTTCCTGTACTGTAATTCTTGTTTCTCCCCCCCCCCCTTTGATACGATGCTTGGTTTGATGACTTAAAACCTCGCTAATGAGTCGAATATTCGTGCTGGTCCCTTGAAAAATAAACTTGAATAGGGTAGACTGTAATTGAATTTTCCCAAAGGAAAGATTGTTCCAAAAATCTTACTGCAGGAAAATAGAAAATGAAAATCCATTTAGTTCACGTGGAAGATTGATGTGCAGATACCATGATAAAGAACATTCGATGAACTTGGGACTCCAAAATGAAAAAAATAAACCCTTCCATAGACCGTAGGACTGAAAAAAAAAGCCAAGGAAAGCCATAAAACGAAGCGAATGTTTAATACACAGTACAGTATATCAGTTCAAGCCGATTCCGACACGACGCATCAGAGCTGCCCTCTCTGTACCTGAAGGAGTTTTCCCAGACAGCCTGGGCAGCACGTTCTGTAAGAGGTTGAAAGGTGAGTCACAGGACTTCGTAGTCGAGCTTCAGCTTCGCACGAAGCCCGACAAGCAACGAAAATTTAATAAAAAAAACTGTACTATTTTCTCTTTTTATTCAATTGGAAACACGACCCGCGTCGAGAAGATGTGCATCACCGGCACGGTTCTGTGATTGAGCAATGCGCTTAAATCTTTCCCACAGCGACCCTGAACCTCGGGGCCTGACAGGGTTTTCATAATTATTCCTTGGAGTGGATCTAGTAGTGAGTCTCCGCGTAACGAAAGACCCCGCACGCCACGAAATATTTGCGAAACTAAAATTCTCCAGGGGCCTAAAATGACTAACATAACAAAATTGTTTCACAGAATGAAATCTTTCGCATAAAAAATGCGCAAGCGGGATCAAATTTCTAATTTAAACTTCTTGATTTTTAAAAATGTAAGGGAAATGAAAATGTAATGGTATACAGTAGTGTTGAATTTTCCGGTATGAAAAAACCATTAAGTAATGCTGCGCAAAAGTTGCTGAGACCACTTCAAAGTCATACTTAACAATTTTTAATTTACAAAAGACTACTGAATATTGCGGATTTGGCATGCAAACGGGTCAAGCAGAGAAACGTCTTTGCCTTTGGAGCCTGGTCAAAGAAGTCTTCCCCAATGCTTTTGAAGGGATTCTCTTGGGGGTTTTTATATATAAGCGTGCCGAGTATCATTACTGAAACCCGCCAAGGTTTGCCAACAAATTTTCTTTTTCTTTCCTTCCATTATTCTATATGCACGAAACTCTTGAGTCAACGACTCTGGTGGGAAAACATTACGGGAGCCGTTCATCATTTGGGATTTAATGGATCGTGTAATTAATGCAGTGTTCCTTGGCTTAAGCACTTTGAACTGTGATAACGCTTTGACTAGTATCATGATTGCCCAATTGTACCTCCCAAGATTTGAGTTATTGTTTCTAACCATAGACCAGAAGAGGCTACTGTAAGAAAGGGTACTGTTAAGACGTCCAGAGAGTTGAAAGGAGAGCTTCCAGGATCATGGGTAATTTAAATTAAAAAAAAGAATTGGATATTAGCATTAGTTTTTTGGTTTCCAAGAAGAGACACCTCGTGCTCTTCAACCTTTTCCAAGTCCATGGACTGGAAAATGTCCATAAAATTTTTTTCAGACTGGCAAATTTTCATGAAATTTTCTGCGCATATTGGCAAAGTTTTAAAAAATGTGTGCAGACCAGCAGAAAAAATTAAATGCCTGTCATAAAGTCCCCCAAGCAAAAATGTTCTTGCAAAAATTAAATTGAGAACCAGCGAAGCAGTGATACACAAATGTCTTGAAAAATGAGAAATATTGGTTTCAAGAAAGGTTTCTCAGAATGAAAACTTATAATCATACATTTCAGCTCCTAAAAACGTGTCTGAAGTTTCATAAGGAGAAAATTCAAAGGTTTTTTTTTTCATCAAATAATTTCAAGCCTTTCCAAAATTTCAGATCAAGGCAACAGATTTCATTACTACTTTTGATAAATTCACTACCTGGATGAAAATTCCCCATGAAGCAAAAAACTTCCATGGATTTACACCAGTCCATGGACCATTGGTTGCAGAACACTGCACTGAACCAATGGTAAACAACCTTTTTGGGCCCACAGACCAGCAAATTTTCAATAAATTTTTTCCAGATTGGAAAACATTTTGAAACATTTGTGCAGACAGGTAAAGTTTCATAACATTTTGCAGACTCAAGAAAATTTTGTTCAAAAGATTTTATAGCAGGTAATGTACTGTATTTCAAAAGTGTCTGCTTTTTTGTGCAAAAATTAAGTCAAGATAAATTATGCCTTTAAAAATTAAACCTGTGTTCAAGAAAGGTTTTTCAAATTCAAATAATTTATTTCTGCCAGTGAAAATTTGCCGTAAGTGTTTTCAGAACAGCCAAATTTTTTCATCAGATAATTGCAGCTGCCATTGTCTTTCCTCAATTTCTGATGAAGATAACAGACTTCATTGCTACTTTTGATAAATGTATTATGCTGGGGAAGATTTCCCGCGGACCAGCGAAAAACTTCTGCGAACTGGGGTTGGTCTTTAAACCAGGCGTTGCAAACCACTGCAAGAAACAACCAATGCTCCAACCGAGGAAGAAAAAAACATAACCTGGGTTTCGCAAGCAGGTTTCAGTGAGATAGCGTCAGTGCGTGAGCAAGGAACCACGCGAAAACCCGTTGGTAACGTCATTTGAATGACAGTCAGGTGCGCGTTGCGCTAATCACTGCACCTTCACCTGGACCCGCGCATGCGCATGAAAATAAGGAAGAAGTTTTGGTACCACAGGGATTATAATTATCCACGGATAATCGCCAATCGACCGAAATTTCATCGCATGGAAAAAAGAAGTGCTGCTCGTATACTTATGTACTCTATTCGAGACGGGGATGAAAAAAAAAGAAGGATCTATTTATAAAGGACGAGACGATTCATGCTGTGCGTGTGCATGAGCTTCTTTTGATTGATACGAGGCGTGGTGTGTTTAGTTATTTCTTGTTCGGGGTTCAAGCTAATAATATGTTCCCCACCACACACAAAAAAGTTAGATTTAAAAAACCGCCTCATTTTCTCAACGATCTTAAAATGAGATCGGAACATCACAAAGAAATTTTCTTGAAGGAAAAGCGACTCATCAACTAAACTTTTAAAATAGAATGTTTTCATATTGATGTTAGGAAGATGGCGCCTGAATTCCAGATCTCACGGAAACAATTCATTTTAACGTTGCATAAAAAAAACCTGAGCTGCTATAAACGAACGCAATTATACAACCTGATTTTGACCTGAGAAACCACAAAAATTCAGGCGACATCTATACTCAGTTGAAGAAAAATCACGAAGCCCGGACACCGAACACAGAATCGAAGAAAGAGGATGATGTTGATTTGTTGAGTCATATATAGTTTTCTTATGCTTAATTGCAATACCTGTGCCTTGTGACAGCGAAATAGGCTCATTTGACTATATTCTCCAGAATAAATTTGTTGCGTAAAAATATTCTGATAATTTTTCATGAGTAGTCTATGAACCATGATACAAATGCAAAATTTAGTGAGTTTTAGGACTTATACAGGCTTCTTCGATCCTTAAGAGAAAATCCTGCAGTTCGGCGTGGATAAAAACATTAAAAGCACAATTTTAATCGCTAAATTCGAATATTTTTTCAAAGCTTAGATTTGTCTGTAGATTTGTTCACTATTCAGCCCAATAATGACATGCAAGTGTCAAAAATTAGAGATCCGCTGGTCTCAATTTCAACTTCGTCGCGTAATTTTTTTTTAAGTGAGAAACATTAGGATTCTCGTATTTTCAAACCAGAAAATTTAAATTTCAGGAAATTGCGGCAGTTGTCTTCCAGCTTTAGACTAAACACACCGACGAAAGATTTTCGCTTCTACACGCGATCTTGAATTTTGAAACCCTATAGCGAATCTATGAGAACATCGTTGGCAAGTTGATCAATCAACAGATTTGAAAAATTGCTGCTCCACGTCTTCCGGATATTTTAAGTATCGTAATATCGATCTGTCTTGTACCAAGAAACTTTTTCCCTCGAACCATTAATCACGAGAAGGATCAATATACTGTATTTACTTGACCTCTTGAATCCTTCATATATGGTTTTATCGCGAAACTTCCCAACGGGACTCTTGGCAGCCAATTACGAAGATGAGGGAAAAGTTACGGTTTCGTGTCTGGAATAAATTAGCTACGCTTCGACGCAGTCAATTAATTAATTATGCAGCACGGGTTAAGTGCATTGACAACTCATTCCCCCTTTTGATGCAATCGCGTCGAACTTTTCTACCCGGGTGGGCAAATGTTGCCATAGTTATTTCCCTTCATTTCCCTGTTCAAAGGAGTCAAGGAAATGTCATCGGAATATGCTCATAATGTCGAAGTCGGGAAATAAAATGGGCTTCGTCGAAGTCTGCATGGGGACCAGAAAAAACATTATAATGAGTGTCTTGAGGCCGTGAAACAGGGTCATCCCGCAAGTTTTTCTTGATGAATGCTCACGGAGAATAAGGAAAAAAAAAACCCGTCGTTGGTTTTCAAAGTCGATAATGAGTTCAGCTGATTTAGGATTGTTGACCTGTTTCCTGGATCAAAAACGGGTAGAAGTCTTCTCGATTCTTGAAAATTGTACTGATTCTCTTGAATGAAAAGATTTGATTCAGAGGACATTATTTCTTCTAAACGAAAATATTTCTTTAGTGAATATTCAAAAAAATCATTGAATGTTTAAGCTGAAAATACAGGGCAGAAAAAAGTGGGATAACACTTCCGACCTGATTCAAGATAAAAAAAATAAAACTTTTCATTCTGTTTTTGAA